TGACGGGATGAACGTGTGCATTCAGGACGAGCCTGCCAGCTCCAGCTGAGGTCGGGGCTTTATCTGGGGGGCTTTCTGTCTTGCGCTGAGAAGTGTCCCTGTTTTCGGAACCTCGCCTTCTTGCGTCTGACAGCATTGACCCAGTGGCCTTCTTGCTTACACAACTTTCTTTACACGACCCCAACAGACTCCAACATTTTCGGTTTCAGCTTGTTCGGGTTTGATGTCAGAGGCCGCACGATCCTTGCACACATCCACTGTGCGTGCGCCGCACCAACCGGGGGTCCTTCAATGGATACCCCAGTGCTGCTGTTGAACACGAGGCCAGCAGGCACAAGGAGCGGGCGGCTGCCGTACCATGCGATGCCAGCTTCGCTCTGAATGGTCAAAATTGGAGTGGTGCTGCCCCAGGCTTTCGAAACACTTCTTAACTACAGCAAGCGCTGCATGTCGTACTGCCCCAAGACCTCAGCCAGGTTGCTTGCTCACCGCGTTGGGGGTGTAAGTGCCCGATCAAAACAGTGCGAAGCTGCACCCGTCCAGGGAGCGAAGTCCGGATTTTTCTTCAAATCCAGCACAGCGCGCTGTCAGATCGATCATCATGCGACACACTGACGGCACTAGCAAAGCCAACGGTATTTGAGGCACCATTGAACTCGGATCACTGTATATGGATGGTTGCTTTCTTTGCCAGGAGCTGCGACTTTTTTCGTTTTGAGGCTGTCTGTGCTTGCAGTCTGCGCTCCAAAAAAGGTGCAAGGGGGGTCACAGGCTGTAGCCGCAAAAATCGCGCCACAATGCCGGCCCCCTCCATTCCAAGTTCAACGGACAGGCATTGGACCGGAGACTCAGAAATGGAGTCGAATCAGGAGCTGTACAACATGCAGAGCATTGCCATCGAGGTGCCCCCGAGCCACCTCCAAGAGGTGGCAGAAGGACTGCTTCAACTGCGCCTGCAGTTCGAAGTCGAGATCCAAAGGATCACGACGCGCTTGGGGAGCATTGAGAAGCAGCTCGAGTCCACAAATGCTCAGACTTTGAACTTCAAGGGGGTCACTTCTCCAAACCACTCTGCATCAGCGCAGAGTGTCGAAGAGGTCGGCCCCACCAAGACGGAAGGGCGAAGTACGCCGGTGAGCTTTGAGGAGAGCGCATGGAACATCCCTCTCGTCCTTGGATTAGCAGATGTGGGGGGATTCGACACGGTCTTTGCGCTGCTGCTGGTTCTGCTGAACCTCTTGATGCAGGGTTCGTTTTCTGTCATTCTGCTGTCCGAGTACTTCATGGGTCAACCCTTCGAAACAAACGTACAGAGCGCCAAGGACTGGCGGACAAGTATAGCTCATGACTCTCGCTATCTAGATTTGGCTGGCACAAGCCTGGTGTCTCGTGTCTGCGCCGGCGATGGATCTTTGATCCTGTCAACCGTGCAGGCAACCCTCATAGAGCACATCAACGACTTCCTGGGTTTGCAGCCACTCGATTTCGTGTTCAGCCCGTGGCAGCCTGGCACGCTCTTGTGCATGCTCTGCATCCTGCTCTGGAGCTTGTGCGTCTACAAGGACGCCCGCATCTCAAGCCAAATTCCGTTCAAATCGCATAAGCTGGTTTCTGGCACTAGAAGCTGAACGCCTCTCAGAATGCAATAGCTCCGAATCTGCGGTAAAAAATAGAGCCCGGCCTTCATAAGGCATACCCACAGAACCCCCAAAACCCTTGTACGTACAATAATGTCCACGGTTCAGTATTGGGCGGGGGGGGGGGTCTGACCAAGTTAGTTCTATTTATTTCGGAGGTTGTCAACATTTAGGGAAGTTTTGGCGCATGGAATAGCCAAGCGGCCCGGCAACAGATGTCCAACAACAGGAGTTCAGAAAGATTTGGCATGCACTGGAGGCTGCTACGACTCTTCCCAAGGCCAGCGTGTGAGATGAACACTTGTTTGCTATTCTAGCTTTGGGTGAATGCTACAGGGTTCCTTGGCTGTGGTCTTCCGCTCCGATTGGTTGATTCGTTCACATCACCTCCATGCCGAGCTGCGCCAGCACTGCTCCTCACGGTTATGACCCAATGACGATAATTGTAAAGCAGGGCGTAGGCTCCAAGAGTGGACCCCAACCTGCATGCGACAGGCCAGACGCACTGACTTTCGGGACAACAGAATTTACTGCCTTTCCTGGGGTCGTGCCCTGGCGCTGCTCATCACGTACATTATTCGAGCAGGCATTGCCTCGGTGCTGCTTGTCGCCGGCATCCTCTGGCTTGCAAGAACCACGTCCATTGAAGAGCTTATGCTCAATGCGGTTGCTTTGAATGCCATTTTGGACGTCGATGAGTTCCTCTTTGAGGGCATGACACCCATCAAACTCCAGCATGCCATACGGAGCCTGGAGCCCATAAGTGTCAGCTACACACACCGACGTAGCCAGACTGAGTCGATGGTGCATTTCTTAGCGGTGTTAGTAACAGTGCTGGCTTCGTACCTGCTCCTTCTCGCGCCTCTGTCTGAGACCATGATGACAGTCAAACGCGAACTGTGTGATGGCCAGAGAGACTTCGTGGTTTCGTACAACACGGAAACTCAAATATCTAGTGGCCTCCTTACACAGGACGTCGCTCGGGAAATGTTGCCAACACTTCAGTTGCCCTGTTTGGGGATGTTTTGGGCGATGGGTTAAGGTCCTAGGCTTGTTGTTTCTGGCATGACTCGCGTGAGGACATCGCGACTGTGCGCGACAGCTATGATCTGCAACCAATCGAGCGAGCTGTCATGTCTTACAAGGACACGCCGTCGAGTCAAGTCAAAGTTTGGCCTCAAACCATATATTTTGCAGAAGACAAGAGGGCTTTCAATAGCGAAATTGACCGTACAATCTCTGACGTTGGTGCAATGTTTCCATTCTGCATGGAGACTCTGGTCTTGAGGGAGACAGGAGACCTGCATCAAGATCCTGCGCTGCAGCCGATCATCGAGGGCTTCGTGCTAAATGCCGCAACGGCGCTTGGGCGACCAAATGCCACAACCTGCGCAGAGCTAGCTGACTTATGCGACCTGCCAGACGCTCGACTGCTGCGCGTAACTTGCGGCGAGACCTGCGGTTGTACAGACACAGTCGCTCAGGTACGCTTGAGAAATGTTGAGCTTTTTGAGTTGTTTGTTTAAAGCCAGAGAGCCGAGACACGTGGAACACTCATCTTTGGTAACGTTTCACGGGCCAGGACCTCGGCCCTGGCGACCTGACGAGACTGAAGACCAAACATATGCCCAAATCAGCCCACAACGGCAACATTGTCGCCGAATGTCCCAGAATGTTGTGTGCGGATGCAATCTTGCTTGGGGGGTTTGAGGGGTTCGATTTGTGAAGTCAGAATCGGGGGGTGGGGGAAAGGGGGCCTGATGCCGCAACAAAAACACCATGTTTTTCGCGGGGGCTACCTTTTTTGATCTCTAGAAACCACGGACAAGCATGGAAGAATCACACTGCAACTCTCCGAACCTTACTTACTTGTCAGCCGATATTTTTTCAGTGTAAAATACCGGCCCTCAGGACGACGTTTTCCGTTTGGGTTGTCTCTTCGCGCATCTCCGCTACCCCATCCCAATCCATGTATGCTCAACTGCTTAGTCTCCATGGCCTTGAAACAACTGCACGGCAAGTACAACCGAGGTCAGTTCTGCCTGGTACAAGGTGGAGTCCGAGGGCTGTTCAAAGCCCTGCTTACTTGACGCGGAGGCCAGCCTGCAAAACATGTCCTGCGAGGATGACAATGTTGTCGAGAAGGATGGGTGGCGCACTTTCTGGCGAGGCTACGAGCAAGCCCTCATCGGATATTATGGTGAGGGCGTCAGACAGACCAGGATCTTCGCTGGGTTAAATGACACGGCACAGGCTTTCCTGAACTATGGATGCCCCCACCTGAGCATACTTCCTTATGAGCTCCTGACGGGCCGTAGCTGGTGTGATGGCCAGCCGCAGTTGTTCCGCCCACTAGCTTCCATGTGCCCAGTCCAGTGCGGCTGCCGCACCACCCGTGCAGCACTTCTTCCCGACGGTTCGCCGAGCTACTGCCCGACTCAGTGCTTCAATAGCACGCAGTCGTGATGCCCTTCAAGCTTGCTTTGTTGCACGTCAACATCGTGCTCAGAACCCTTAGGTCCGCCCTTGCGTAGCCATCCCAGGATGTAAGGGAGAGGGCTGCTGTGATTTTCGGATCCTGTACATAAGCGCAGATGCATGGCGGGAAAAGACTCTGACGCTGTCGTGTGTCGGACTTCTTTTGATGCCAGTGCGCACCTAGCGCCTGAATTATCTTAAAGATTGTGTAAATCGGGAACCTCCTCTCCGTTGCCTCGTGGGCCAGGTGCCTCGCGGGCTTGCCTGAGGCCGTGGATCCAATGACGAAACTCCCAGAGTCAACTGTAGCTGTACAGCGGCGGGTCGAACATGACGGCAAATCCATTGCTGCGTGAAAGAATCGTCATCCCACTGCTTAGCAAAAGAAACGTAACCTTGAGGAGCCTTGGAACACCCAGTTTTGAGAAGGCTTTAGAGCTAGGCTTTCAGGTTCATGTTCTCATCTCCACGTTACAATCGAAACTGTTGTGCGACTGTCATCCTCGTCCAAATCAGAGTTAAAATGGTAAACCTGAAGGAGCACATGGCCCGCTAGGGTTGCAATTTCAGCATTGTGGAGTAGACAGACTATGATAGGCCCAAGTCAAGGCTCGCATCATTGCTTCAGGGCCTGGCCAACCTCCACAGACTTGTAAGGATTAGCGAGGCAAGTGACGCGAAGTGCAAGATAGTGAGGATAGTAGCGGACACCTTGCCAACTACCATATATGGGAGTCTACGAAAATAGGGGACCCTCAATATAGACCTCCAAACAGTAGGATCCCATACAATGAGGCCCCCAGCAAGGTGCCCCCAATCTCGCAAACCCCATATGTCAATGGACCTGCTTCGGGTAGGGGGACACACTCAGCCCTCAGAGCCAAGGTCAGATCGGCGACAGAGTGCGCTTAACATGGTGCGAGCCCCTTTTCGACTGCATAGCTGCAAGAGGTCCTGCGGGTTGTGAAGCACGACTAAAGGCTACACAGCTGTGAAGGCTCGGGGCAACTAATGCCAACGCTTGCCAATTGGGCTCTCGGGCGGGGTAAGACAGGCTTGTGTCGCGTGGTAACCGCTGCAGAGGCCATTGATTGGCAATCGATTGGCCGTGCGCCCTCAGGTTTTGTACGAGCAGCTGCGAGAGGATTGTGGGGCTGAGAGCTCATCTGGATGACATTCCGGTACATTGAAGCTCTGAACTCTGAACACCTGAATCCTTAGCAGCGTGCCTTGCCCAGCTAAGCACGTGGGGCATACATGCAAACCCTCATAAACCCCCTCAACCATCACCAAAGGTCACAATGATCTTCTGCGTCCACCCAGATCGGCGATTTGCTTCGGCGGCGCGCTCCACGTAGGGGCACACAGCAGAGGTTGAGGGTTTAAGGGTTTGGGTGGGGAGGAGTTCTGGTGGTGTTGTGGCTTCAGGATGGCAGCTTCCTGGGCAAATTCCTGGGGGGGGTTGGGGAGAGCTTGAGCGAATGTGCCGTCTGTTGGGAGGTGGAGAGATTTGAACAGAGGTGGAAAGCCGGGGGAGGGAAGGGCAAGGAGCCCGTAGAATGATATTGAGAGTTTAGGTTTGGCGGGTGTATAAAAGGCACGCAGACATGCAGTGCATGCAGCTTATTTCCACCCCAGGTCGGAATCCCCATCTACACATTCTGTAACGGTGTTTTTGATGCTAAGCACACGAGCTGGAATGCACTGTGCTCGCTGCGCCGCCGTATGCGTTTGGGCCCACATGGCCCTCTTGGGTGGTATAGTGGGGAAGCCATGGCGGATGCACTGGCAGGCGCAGCATCAGACCCTAAAGCCAAAGATCTCCACACCTGTCTCTGATGTCTCTGACTTCTCCTTCATGCACGGTGGAGCTTCGTAGTTCGCTATGTTCACTGACGTTTGCGGATTGTTGCTTCACTGCCCAAGAAGGCGTGTTGTCGTCACTGTTAGATGTGGCTAAATTCATTGCGCCCCCACCCCCCCGCAGCCCCTACAGTAGTCCCCTGGCTTTATTCCTTCTTCAAATCGTGTGCGTGTGCCCCGACAGGGCCCAGCAATGCCTACCTACAAACCTCCTAGTCGAGCTATTTTGTCAGCTCTTCTCGGGGGAATGTCGAATGTGGAAGTTGGACCGCAGGAATGGTTGTAATGGTTGTTTGCATCAAACGGCCATTCGCCGTCTTCACCGGGCTTGGAAAATAGGACCTTTGAGCTGCGCAGCGGAGCGAACACCAGTCTCGACAGCAGCTGAACCCTGCAGGCCAAAGTGTCTTGGAGAAACCTTCAAAACAACAGAGTTCACCGACCTGGAAGCCACCATTTCTGGCTTTTGGCGCTCGAGCGCGGTCGATTGTTTTCCGATGTTTTCCGGGTCCACCAGCTTCCCCGCCGAAAAGGCGCAAGACCAGTCCCTTTCCAAGACGGAGTACCGGGGATGCACTTCAAAGACGCCCTGCAGGAACAGCACCGAGTAGCAATACTGTGGGCAATGCTCCATCAACATGACCTTTGATCCAAGACGGCAGTTCAAGAATTTGTGGCTATTGATTCTTGAACTGAAAACACATGCAGCAAAAGCACTTGTCGTTTGCATGCCCGAGCACTGTCGAGACTTAAGCCTGCAAAGTGAAGCTCTCAGCCCTAAGGCCGACAAGCCGTCAAGTCCAAACCCCCAACGACAGGTCTTGACTTGCCAGGGACGCCGGCCGCCTCAAGCTCCAGTGGTACTGGGGATGTGGCGAGCCTTGGCTGAAGGGCGATGTGTGGAGCCGCCAGGGCTTTAGGAAAAAGAGGATTGGGAACCACGTGCTGATGCAGCTGACGCATGTTGCTTCCACCAGGTCCCCCCCCCCCCCATGACTCCGATCCCTCGGACCCCTCGCAAAGGAAAGGGAAAGAGCCTGCCGTAGCCAGAAGGAGCTAGTATGGAGGGCCTATTTTTTTGGGTCTTTTTTTTTTTTTGCCTTTTTTTTTGTTTTTGGTCGATTTTCTTGGTTTTTCCTAAGAAAACCACCATTCCCTCCATATTTTTAAAGGATTTGATGCATTTTCGTGGTTTTTGGTGCGAAAAACAGTAATTTCTCTGTGGTTTCATAGGAAAGCGTTATTTCTGGTACGTTTTAGAAGGAAAGAAGGAAAGAAAGGAAGGAAGGAAGGATGAAAGAAAGGAAGAAAACAAGGAAGGAAGGAAGGAAGGAAGGAAGGAAGAGGAGGGAAGGAAGAAAGGAAGGAAACAAGGAAGGAAGAAAGGAAGGAAGAAAGGAAGGAAGCAAGGAAGGAAGAAAGGAAGCGTGCTTCGAAGCCCAAGAAACTAGTTGAAAAACATCGTGTGAGCATTGTGTTTGCAAATGGGGGGGGCTGCGCCCCCCCCAACCCCCCCGCTTTTTTTTTTTTTTAAGCCGTGCAGAGCGTGCTTCAAAGCCCAAGAAACTTGTTGACACCCATCATGTGAGCAGGGTGTTTGCAAATGGGGGGGGGGCTGCGCCCCCCCCAACCCCCCCCGCTTCTTTTAAGCCGTACCAAGCGTGCTTCAAAGCCCAAGAAACTAGTTGAAAAACATCGTGTGAGCATTGTGTTTGCAAATTGGGGGGGGGCTGGCGCCCCCCGCTTTTTTTAAGCTGTGCAGAGCGTGCTTCAAAGCCCAAGAAACTTGTTGACACCCATCAAAGCTTCTCGGCTCGGATCACATGTTTTTTTTGGTAGGGGGTCAATCGGGTTCGAGGCCTAACAGGTTCTCTGTTCAACTGGACCCCCTTCCGGACGCTGTAGTTCTTGCCTTTGCACATGGTGTCTCAATACTGAGCCTGGGAAGCCGCACTTCGGCACCCATTCACAGATGCAATGAAGATGGCGATATGTCTGAGACCCGTGCATTCAGGTTGTCCTCGGTGCACTCACTGGCCTTCATGGATCTGGTATGGTATTTGCATGGCATTCTGCTACTGGATGTTTTTGGAGACGCCTTTGCCACCTGATGAGCTGGTTGCGCAAACGCAGTTAGCCCCACGGTTGGGAGATACACGAGTGACACCTTCAAGCATCATCACTGCAGGTCCGCTCTTCTTTATTTTACGAGCCGTGCCGGTCCCAAGTCCGGCAACCAGCATTGGATGGGCCACTGAAGACAGGCCAAATGTATTGCTGGTAGAAGTGAGGGTTGCTGCAGATTCCAGTGCTGCAGCGGGAGCCAATCAGGTTCGTGATCACCTGGGCTTCATGTGTGGGCGAAGATACTGGCCAGGCATTATGTACGCACCAACGCTTCGGGGCGGACTGCAAGGTACAGTGTTTTCACTGCCAGCGAGCTCGCGCCTATGCTCAGTGCTTGGTTTATTTATTTCGTATTTGCTTTTGTTCTTCATGTTGTATGACTATTCATTGCCACTTACGGTTGCCAGGCTTTGCGGCAATCAGGCATTTTGGGATGAATGTATGGCCACTTGCGGTTGTCAGGCTTTACGGCAACCAGGCCTATGGGCAGGGCGCCGTCTTCGGCCCCTACATTGTGCTGCTACAGTTTGTCTCTATGCAGATGAATTCGTTTTTGCTGAGGCGTCGTCTGGGACTGCTCTGATGGCCCACCTCATGGTGCTTTCACTTTCGGTTGCAACGGCTGGAAGGATATGTGACGACATTCGTTGTGGACAGTTCGTTCCTGTTTCCCACCTAGCCCTTCTGGGATTTCGTGGGTCGGCCCATGGCGAGTTTTCGGGCAATGAGGCAACTTGCGCGATGCGACGAGTCACTGTAGTACCAGACTCTCCATGGAGGTCCTCAACTGTCTGCCCTATGAGTTTGGATCATCGTTGAGCTGACCATATTTGACTCAGTTCTTTGCTTGTACAATGCATGTGCTGGAGCAGTACCACACACTCACCCCATACTTGCTTGGTTTTTCTTGGCCACTTGCGATTGCCAGGCTCTACGGCAACCTGGCCTGCGGGCGGGGGCGCCGTGTTATCGGCCCTTCTATTCAATATGCTGCTGCTATTTTATTTTCTTGTCTGGTGGGTGCATTGGGCTTCCTCACCGTGATGGTCCCCTACGCTGTGTACCTGCCGCTGAGGTATTCTTGGGATTGCTCTGATGGTTCTCTTTCCTCGTGGGGTGCTTCTGCCAGCTTTCTCTCATGGAGGCTGCCGCTTTGGCAAAGCTTGCCCTTTGGGCAGGACGACAGAACGATGTGCCAATGTGTCTGTCAGCGGTGGCTACGCTGCCCAAAAGCAGTGATTCCAGGAAAGTTGGCGGTAAGCATAGAGGCTTGTTGTGGACTCCGTTTCGCTTGAAATTGGCCTGTGGAGTGCATTTCGATGCTCTAGTGGACTCTGAGTCCGTCCCTCCATGGAGGTCCTCAACTGACTGCTTTTCATGAGTGAGATCCATCATTGAGCTGACCATTTTGTAGCTCAGTCCTGACGTTGTACAGTGTACAGGGCTTGCGCAGCACTTGTCTCGGGGTTGCCGTTTCCGGCCCCCTGCCCAAGGCAGAGTGGCGTGATGTGTTTTTCATTTCTTCGTTTTGACAATTCATTCACTGTTCAGCTGAGCTGTCACAGTCTACTCCCTAGTTAGTAAGTGCGAGAACGCTAGGTTGAGCGACTGTGAGCGCTGGAGACCCTGTACTGCACAGTTTGTTGAACTTCGGTTCCTGTGCAGTTGCCTTGCATGTCCATACCCGAAGCTGTTAACCGCCGCCACAGAGCGGCCGTGACATATGTCATGAGCTACAGCTAGCTAGTAGGTCAGACCAGACCGCTGCGGAATCGAGTTCGAGTTCGAGTGACACCCATCATGTGAGCATTGGTGTTTGCAAATGGGGGGGGGCTGGCCCCCCCCCAACCCCCCCCGCTTCTTTTAAGCCGTACCAAGCGTGCTTCAAAGCCCAAGAAACTAGTTGAAAAGCATCGTGTGAGCATTGTGTTTGCAAATGGGGGGGGCTGCGCCCCCCCCAACCCCCCCGCTTTTTTTAAGCCGTAAGCGTGCTTCCCAACCCAAGAAACTAGTTGAAAAACATCGTGTGAGCATTGCAAATGGGGGGGGCTGCGCCCCCCCCAACCCCCCCCGCTTCTTTTAAGCCGTACCAAGCGTGCTTCAAAGCCCAAGAAACTAGTTGAAAAACATCGTGTGTGCATTGTGTTTGCAAATGGGGGGGGGCTGCGCCCCCCCCAACCCCCCCGCTTTTTTTAAGCCGTGCAGAGCGTGCTTCAAAGCCCAAGAAATTTGTTGACACCCATCATGTGAGCAGGGTGTTTGCAAATGGGGGGGGGGGCTGCGCCCCCCCAACCGCCCCCCCGCTTCTGTTAAGCCGTACCAAGCGTGCTTCAAAGCCCGAGAAACTAGTTGAAAAAAAAGTAT